CTCTTGCCCACTTCTGATTCAGTGGTTCCACCTATTTTTCTTGCGGGGTGTCTGGCGGAGTACGAAAGGTCTTTGGTCGAGGCTGCTGGAATTGCCTTCTAAACTCTTCATTTGATCGAGGGGCTCCCTATTGTCAAACAAAAATCTTGGAATGAGAGGTTTTTCTCCTTCCAGCGCCTTCTTTTTGTTAGCTTCATACTTTTCAGCAGCTTTTTCATCAAAGACAATGTTGCATCTTGGACATAGCACAACCTTTGACTCTGCCGCTCTGCATTTTTCCTGGAAATCATCAAATATTCTCCAACTTAAGGATAAACTTCCCTTAATTTGTCTTTATTTTTCATGTCAAAACCATTAGTAGTCTCGACCATTATGCACTAAGAAGGTTAAACATATAAGGCTTTGTTGAAACCATTAATAGTTTCGACCATCATGCACTCAAAAGGTTCAGCATATAAGGCCTCCTCAACCTTCAAAGGATTCGTATCCACCTGCATCTTTGGTTTTTCTCCAAATTGAAGCCTTCCTTCTTTCAAAGTCTTTTGCACCAAATCCCTGAAAAGAACACGTTGAGATGTTTTATGACCAAGAAAATTATGAAACTTACAAAATCCCTTTTTTTCTTTTGCTCTAATGGGGGATTTTTTAGGCCTTGAGGCACAATAATTTGACCATCCTAGACTAAAAAATAAAATATTTTATCACATTTAGATACATCGAAAATATAAGTTTTTGCAACGAATTTATCTATTTTTTCAGTTTCGACAGGATTTTTTTCGTTTAATGGTTTCAACAGTTTACAAGCGTAGGGAGGTCCTGACTTGAGCTCATCCACGTTGACCTCGATTTCTAAACGAGCCCTTCGTCCTCAGAAGAGTATGCGTCTGCAGCTACATAAGACACTTTCTCTTTCTTATAGTACTTACCGGTTCTGGCCTTTTTGGCTTTCAGTCGTTCGATTTGTTGATCTCTATCAGCCAATTGGGCCATATCTCTAAGATATTGAGTGTCTAACTTTTTCCTGATAGAATAATCTAACCTGTCTGGAGCTATCTCGATTGACTCGTGTTCAGAGAATTGAGTAAAACATCTTGCTTTCAAAATTCTAAACCCGTTAAGGTATTGATCGACTAACTCAGCAGCCTTTCATTTGGTGTTGGCCAACGCTTTCAAAATTATCTTCGATTGTTCCATATAAAATTGTTCATGGAACAATCTCTCCAATTGCGCCCACGTATGGACGGATTGTGGAGGTAGCGTTGTAAACCAAGTGAATGCATTTTTTGTGAAGGAACTTGGGAAGTATTTCATTTTTAAATCCTCATTGTTTGCTATGTCCTCAACTTCGGTTTGATACATGGAAATGTGCTTGACAATGGACTCTTCGGTGTCCCGAACTTGGTAAACTTAAGAACCTTCCATCCTCTAGGAAATTCTACTTGCAAGATAAAATCCGGTAATGAGGATGAATACGTTGGCCTTTGAAGGCCAGAGTTCACATTATTTTGAACCATGATTCGCTCGACAATAACTTCTAGGTTTTGTTCCCCAACCATTGCATCCTGTCGAACTTGCATGACCATGTGGTCGGGATCCTGGTTTCTATTAACCAACACGACGGGGACGCGTTGGGGCACCCTAGGTATTGGCTCGACCACCTTGGGTTCTTGGTCAATTGTCTCATCGAACCTCTCTTCGTGTCAGAGTGGTGCCTCTGGTTGAGGTGAGGTCACTTGACGAACTTGTGCTCTAGGAGCACCTAAGAAACCACCTATTCTAGTCATCTGAGTTGTCATATGCTAGTAGCTCTGAGCCGAATCCTGAATTAATGGCCTAAGTATGGTTTCCATTTTCTGAGTTACCATATAGACCATTTCATGATTACTTTCGTCCATCTGCTGCCTCATAACCACGACAGAACTTGAAGTGAAAGTTGAGATTTCCTGGGATGGAAACCCTAGCCATATGGTATGACCAAATTGGTTTCCCATAGGTCCTAATCCATGGTAAGGTTAGAATGTTGAGGATGAATTTTCACCAAACCTCAAACCACTACTATGTATACTTGCCATCAACTCGGTTGGCATTCCAAAGCCTCGATCCCTACCATACATGGTCAATGTGAAACTGGGCATATATGGACCTGAAGTTCTAACCACCATCGGTCTTAGAGCTTCAGGCCGACGCGGTGACAGTGTTGGTCCACTGTGGGCAGTCAAAACCACAATCATAGTGTTATAACCAACCTCAGTTGCCTCTAAAGAAACTGTATTTCCTCCTGAGGATTGCTCCTCGTTTGGACTGGTATTTCTTGTATCTACCATTTTCTTACCACTATGCAATTGCATCTACTTAACACAATGGATCCCACCAGGTGTGCCAATTTGTTCGATTGGATTTCTGCGAACAATCTCTAGCCTCTTATTAAAGGTTACTTGCAGGATCGGCTGCAAAATCCTAGACTTAGTGTTAAGTATGGAATATCTATTTAAGTGTTTTGGGTTTGAAATAGTGGACGAGGGACTGAATGAATCCACGTTCATGCAACTAAGATAAATAAAATGAGAGAAAAACAAGACAAAAATTAGAAAAGAACATGAACTGAAAAGAAACTTATAATGTAATTTGCTTAAACATAAGTTGGACGTATGCATACATTTGTGTAGAAATGACCCGTTTCTCTTAGACGCTGGTACTTTGAGTGTTTTCTTTGCAATATTATAAAATGTGACCCCCTTGAACTGAAACTACATTCTACTTAAATAGGCATAAAAAAATAATTGTTGCTTTGCTGATGACTATTCACAGCTTGCCACACATCCACCCATGCACCCACTTTGCGTGTAACTTCCCCGCGTTCTCATTAGTTGCAACACTCGCCTGTTTTAGCTTGGCTTCAGCCTTAGTCAGAATGGTTGTCCGTCAAGATTTCTTTGAATTAAGCCTGAAGAATTGTCCATCGAGCTTGATTCGACTACACCGACCTATTTCGACGCTTCTTCGTTAGTGATGCAACACTTCTCCCTTTGACTCACTCTTCTTCCCCTAGGCGAAATTTACTAGTTAACACCTGTACAATCATATATCATCAAATGGACGATGTTGTCTGTGATCCTTAAAAGGTCGCCAAATGACATCAACAGGTGTCAATCCATCCAATATAGGCCTGAGCCCATCAACCTTTTGTGCGCCTTGCTTGTACGTCCACTTCATCGCCCTAGGAGGTGGACTACCAATACTAACAATCTTAAAAAATGCTCTCTTGTCAATACTAGGAAAATACTCATGAATCTAACACTATTACACAAAATGAACATTATCAATTAAAAGTATTATAAATAAGCTAATATACGCCTAAATGAAATTAAAATAAATCATTTGCACCTGTAGCAAATAGGCATATCCTTCAAGCTGCCTGCAACTGTAAAAGAAAACATCTCCTAGATATCTATAAAGTGTGACAAGTGCAGCTGTCCCCCAACAGTATCTACCACATCTAGACAAGTCTTGAAATAGTGGTAAATACTTTGTCTCTACAAGTGTAAAGGTCTTATCAGCAAAAATGGTGCAGCCAACTAACAACATGTCGGCTCTAGCTGCACAGTCAAATCTGTTCGCAGCTCGCTGACGGATAAATAGTTGCTTCAACCAATCCAAGCTATAATAAGGACCTCTGCAACCACGAACCTCTTTAGCTGCATCCTCCAATGAAACACCCAGGAGATGAATAGCCTGAGTAATGACATCTGAATCAGTAAACCCTTCTGTAGGGTTACACAGCTCCCCTTACATGGTAGATGAAGTAGATAAGAAACCTTGTCCAAAGTAATAGTCATCTCACCAAATGACATATGAAATGACGATGTTTCTGGATGTCATCTCTCCACAAATGCAGATACTAAGTTCTGATCTATCCTCGATAAACTAGTTCTTTGTAGAAAAGATATACTATAATCAGATAACCATCGCTCAATCACTGATGGAAGACTATGTGGAACCTATCCAATCAACTTCCTGCCATGTGCAACAACCATTAACTCTTTCTTCGCCACTCCCTCCTAAAAATAAATCATAATATATAAATAATTAACATTAAATTTGATTCAACATAACATATCATAAACAAACTTACTTCGCCTTCTCACAAATGGCGAGCAATGTAGTTCTGATACCTCACTAAAAAAGACGTATAAGACGGTCCTCCGAGAAATGATGGATGCAGTGGAATAGACACATGTGCAACTATCTGATTTTCCTCACGATTCAACGGCTATTGAGATGGTCGTCCTTTACCATATCGTCGATAAATGAGTTCATCCCGTCCTCAATGCGAGCCACTAAAAAAAATTAAAATTCATCAAACAGAAAAACTACAAGACAAGTTCTCCGGTTAAGAAAATAAAAAAAAACCGAATAACATAATGTTAAGTTATCCGGTGAGAAGAAAAAAAGAACCGGATAACTACACCACAAGTTATCCGATGTGAAACAAATACTAACCAGATAACTACACCACAAGTTATCCGGTGAGTAACCATTAAAAAAATTAGAATCAAAGAACTTACTCTCTAATTCTCCAGAGTTAAAAATGTGAATTGGATAACTTGTTGTTGGATTTTTCGAAAGTCAAAAATTCTGCATTGATTTTTTTACGCTCTAGCCAGAAGAAAATGAAAAAAAAAAGTAAATTTTTTAAAATATTAGATATTTATACAGAAGTATTTTTATCGAATTTTTTAAATTGGAAGGGTATAGGGCTAAATGTAAGGGATGGGGTAAAACTTTCTTTAGTTGGGTAAGTCCATTAAAATAGCTTATTAAAGAAAAAGCTCAATAATAAGGCACGTTGTGAAAAGCGAAAATCAACAATTCTGTTTTTCTCTTTCTTTTCGTTCTTTCAGTTTCGTGGTGATTACTTTCATTTCCATCTCTAGAAATACAAATCAAATTTTCACAAAAATATAGAAAATTGAATTGGTCGATTCCATTTTGTTGAAAAGATGGGAGATCAATTGGCGAAAGCAGAGGATTTTGAGAATAAGGCAGAAAAAAAGCTGAGTAGTTGGGGCATGTTTGGTTCCAAATTTGAGGATGCCGCTGATCTATTTGATAAATCTGCCAATTCCTATAAGCTCTCCAAATCATGTAAAATCTCCAATTATTCTTTAATTGATCATTGGTTACATGTTATTAATGTTAATTAATCGTGAATTGTGATTCATTGCCAACCTTTTTATGTTGTTGGATGAGGTTGCCCCTTGTTACCAATGCTTGTGTCGCAAGTTTTATGTATATTGAGTTGTGATTTTGTTACTTTGAATTATTATATAAGTCATATTGATGCAAGCTCTTTTGATAAAATCACAACATTTATATTTTTGATTATAATGAGATACATGTCAATGTCTGACACTAGGATATCTTGTTAGATTCAATCACTTTTAATTTCAAACGCACTTTCCAGTTGTTAGTAATGTTTTAGGTGTAGCAAAATCAGGCTGAAATTGTTGTTAGTCTTGGTGGTGATCACATTTCAGGGGACAAAGCAGGATCCACCTATGTTAAGTTGGCAAATTGCCATTTGAAGGTGACAAAATTTACCTTTCTTTGGAGTTAAGTTAACTATTTTGTTTATTATTCTCTCTTAACCCTGAAATTATCTGATTCTAGTTGGAAAGCAAGCATGAAGCTGCCTCGGCTTATGTTGATGCTTCGCATTGCTACAAAAAAGTTAATGTGAATGGTATGTATATGAGTGTGTGGTTATATACACTAGGATTGTCCTAAAACTTAAATGGAATATGCAGTGTAGTCATGAACGAGTGCTGGATCCTAAGATGCCTGAGAGTGTTCTTTTTGAAATTAGCATTTTTCTCTTCGTGCTTGACTACATTGTGTATATGTATAACCGTAGTTTAGAATAGCACTTTCAAATGCTAATCTTCCTTTTAATGCAGAGGCTGTATCTTGTTTAGACAATGCTGTAAATATTTTCTGTGACATTGGAAGAATTTCTATGGCTGCTAGATATTTGAAGGTATATATATCACTTCTTCGCCATTTTTCTCGGTGATAAGCTAAATTTTATTTCTTACAATGCATATTCAATTCTTCTTCTCTTCTTGGCAATCCTTTTTACTCGAATCGCCATAAAAAATGTCATAATTGGATTTTGCTTTTATTTACACAGGAAATTGCTGAATTATGCGAGTCTGAACAAAATATCGAGAAGGCCCTTGTTTACTATGAAAAATCAGCCGATTTTTATGAAAGTGAGGAGGTGACAACATCTGCAAACCAGTGCAAGCAAAAAGTTGCTCAATTTTCTGCTCAGCTAGAAAAGTATGATTTTCTAGGAACTTTATCATATCATTCTCTTTATGGTAGATTTCATGTTAATAACTGTTTCTTCTATTTTTGTTCTTCTCTAGATATCAGAAATCGATTGAAATTTACGAAGGGATAGCTCGCCAGTCTCTCAACAATAACCTGTTGAAGTATGGAGTTAAAGGACATCTTCTTAACGCTGGGATCTGCGAACTTTGTAAAGGAGATGTCATTGCTATTTCCAATGCATTAGAACGATATCAGGTTGAATATCTTTTAAGAATTTATGTCTACGACAGAGAAATATCCTCGGTTTTTTAATCATTTAGATGTGTATTTGTGTTTTTCTTTTTTTGCAGGAATTGGATCCGACGTTTTCAGGAACACGCGAATATAGACTTTTGGCGGTATAATGCTTAGTAAATTATACATTAGAATGCACATAGTTTTTCAAAAACTGTTTCCTCTATTGCGGCAGTGATCCGTAACTTGTTTCTTTTCGAAAACAAATTGGCAGGATGTTGCTGCTGCAATTGATGAAGAAGACGTTGCAAAGTTTACTGAAGCTGTCAAAGAGTTCGATAGCATGACTCCTTTGGTAAGTTCGAAATTACAAAAGAACACACGACGGTTTCTAGACGTGTATAAATTCTTATACTAGAATAAACATTTTGTGCAGGATTCGTGGAAAACAACACTTTTTCTGAGGGTGAAGGAAAAACTGAAAGCCAAAGAACTTGAGGAGGATGATCTTACTTGAATTGTGTCATAGTTTTGTGTTGGTTGGGCTTTATGTTTGATTATATTTGTTTTGCATTATGATTGTCTATGCAGTTGTTCATCTTACATATTACTTATACTGTGAAAAGGTAACTTTCCAAACATATGGTGAATTCTTGAGATGAGTTATGATTGTGAGGTTTGTAATTTGGTAATATCCAATATTGATGGATCATAGAATGTTTCATGCTCTAATTGGTTAGGTTTCATGCTCTAATTGGTTGTATAGGTTTCATGATATTAAGTTAGTAACTCAATGTAAAATGGTGAAAACAGAAATCCTAATTCCTAATTCCTAAATCGTTAATACTCTTTTAGAACAAATAATATCTGTAATTTTTATGTTAAATTTTTCTCACTCTACGAAAGTTAAGATATACACTAAAATACAACAAGCTTAAGTCATATAATATGTTGAATAAGTCATCAAACACAAAATAGGAAATCATAAAACATGGTCATTCTCTCCTTTAATGCAGTTAGCATGTGGTTGGATGTGAATTTGCACAAGTCATATAATCTGTTAAATACAAAGTTAAGACAGTTAGAAACCATAAAATGCATTATGCATCCACCAAAAACCATAAAATGTGGCTATGTTACTTTAAGGCAATTATCAGAAGTAGAAAACTTATCTTTGATAGCATAAATTGTTCTAACCAAAGAAGTGTTTGTTAATTGAAGGGAGATTGGTCCCTTTACTCGAATCATAGACTCATGAGGGTACGCTTAAGGAATTTTCTTTATGAGTAAGACATCTTTGTGAGAGACACAAAATCTTAAGGTGATAGGTGTGCGGATTCTGCCACTTATAAATGCTCAAGTCTCTACATTTTTAATCAATGTGGAACTTTCCCACACTATCACACTTGTTATTCTCAACAAAAAGGAGACACATAAATAAATGGAAAGTGTCTCAGAAGTTGAAAAATCATCTTTGTAAGACATAAGAATACTGATATAAAAGGAAAACAATTAAAATCTATCAAGCAATGACATTGAAATGGCAAAACATGAGTTATCTTTGATATCACAAACTACTGCATTAAGTCAGTTTAACTGGTTCTTTATCATTCTTATCATAAGTCATATAATAAGTTGAGTACAAAGTCATAGAAATAACAAATTAAGAAACACTAAAACCAAGATGAAGCAAATGCATTTGAAGGGAATGAGCAAAAACCTTAAAACCAAACTGGTTTTACACATTTCAACTAATTGTTTTTAAAATACAAAGTGAAAAAGTGTTCGGAATACATGGTGAAACTCATAGAGAGGTGTACAACTGATGAAAAGGAGTGAATTATGAAAAACACTAAAATTAAAGTTCTTAACAAATCAAAATTCATTAACAAATCGAAACATATAAACGCAAATCCAAACTGTTTTTAATATACAAAGTAATGTAAAAAAAAAAAAAACACAGAATGAAGTAATGGTGTGCAGTGTAAGCGGAAATATAGGGGATATTATATGAGATTAAAACATCAATACTTACTTGTTGAAGTCATGATTCGGAATTCCGAATGGATGAATGACGGATCTTCCTCTGTATCTCACACTCTCGTTCACAACTTTCAATGGGGCAAGTTATGGAGCCGTCAGTTATGTTTCTGATTCTTTTTGTGATTACAGAAGGGACCTAACCATATAATATATATAACCCTAGTCCCTACCCATTATGAGCCCAAGGTTAAAACCCACATTTTTACCCACACCAATCAGGTTTCAGATACTCAGCCATTAGTTAAAAATTGATCACTTAATTAATTAAAGGGCTTATATATGCACCCCCATCAAAATCACAATTAACCCGTTTTTTACAAATTAAACCACAATTGATTGTAGCCCATAAAACATTAGATAAATCTAACATTCTCCCACTTGGACAAAATCAATTGTATGATTTTTATTTTAAAATACATTTTGAAAACGACTCTCGGCTTAATGACTAATTCCTTAAAATGCGGCCGCATTTTAAGGAAATCCATGATTCCAGGTGCAGTATCTGAATATGACTCCATCCAACAAAAGTTAAGCAGTATTGAATCACGACGATTATTATGTCCTTCATTGACATAAAACCTTTCGTGGTTACAAATACTACATACTCCGTCAACTAGTCATCAGTGTGGAGTGTGGCAAGAAAATAACATGCTAATGTGATCCAACAACCATTTGCTATTTTCTTCGTCAGTCTTTAACAATTTCTCTCAAATGCATTAAACACAAAGAAATTGTATGGTTTTACAAACCATAATGCCTCAGCTCCAATATGGCGTCGACCACCGGCACAGTGGTCCTGACAACGCCGAGCTTAAAATCATACTTCAGCTCTAATATGGCATCAACCACCGGTATAGTGGTCCCGAAGACACCGAGCTCAAAATAATAACCATGCCTTGAACTCCAAACTAGTGTCGACCATAGGCACAATGGTTTCGATGACACTGAGTCCCAAATTTAGCAATTTAAATGTAAATAAACAATGACAAATGATAATAATAATAATAATCATTATAATATCAATTGCTTAAAATAGAAAATACTCGACAATCCAACATTTAAAGTGTCTAAAATAAAATATAACATGATAAAAGAAAATGACATAAAGAACAAACTCCCACTAACCAAGTACATCAAAAGAACTCACAATGCCCATGTTCTCAACATGGTTTTTGAACACATTGGGCCTAAGTCCCTTAGTTAGAGGATCAGCTAGCATGAAATATGTACCAATGTACTTAACAACAATGTCATTTTTCTTTACAAGATCTCTGACTGTCAAATACTTCAATTTCAAATGCTTAGAACCGCTAGAAGTTTTATTATTCTTGGAGTAGAACACAACTGAACTATTATCACAGTAAAGCTTTAGTGGCTTTGCAATGGAATCAACAATATGAAGTCCAGTTACTAAATTTCTTAACCAAACAGCATGAGTGGCAGCAACATAACAAGCAACAAACTCTGCCTGCATAGTACAAAAGGCGACAATAGTTTGCTTTTTACTCTTCCATGATATCGCGCCTCCAGCCAACATAAAAATGTAACCAGAAATTGTTTTATTCATAGCACACAAGCTAACGAAAACTCTAAGTCTTTCTTCCATTTTTTAAAATTAGACTCATTCAAGATCTCAATAGAAGCAGAACAATTGTTCATAGAGAAGGTCATTGTTTAGACAAAATAGGAATGTATTAGAACAAATAATAAAGGTAAGATATAGCTTTAATGAACATAAGCTATCACTAAGAGGCCAACATTATCACACAATCCCTTTTGGGTGGAATGCGTAAAATCCAGGTTAGAACCAAGGTCAGAACCTCAGATGAGTCGCTCAATGAGCATAAATTGGGTTCAAAAATCTATCTCCTTTGGGTAGATAAATTCTCTAAACCAAAACACCTCCAACAATTTCATCTACAAATTTCAAGAATAAGCTACTCAATGAGCATACATTGAGTTTAAAAATTTATTTCCTTTGGGTAAATAAATCCCTTAGACCAAAGCATCTCCAATAGTTATATCCTTAATCAATCACAATCTTTACATACAATTGTCCACCTTTGGGAAGACAATCACAGTAATGACTTAAAACCATTCCTCAAACTACAAAGAGACTTTTACAAATTAAAACGAGCGACCTCACTTTGGTGGTAATCACACACAATAATTTATAGAATTTCTTGCATAGGAATTAAAAAAAAATTCTTGCCAAAATAAATCATGAACCAATCATGAATTTAAACCATATAACATTCCTAATAAATTTTGTCTTCAACAGTATTTATCTCAATAGAAGTAATATTATACAATATTTCAAAATATTATATTACAAAATCATACTATTAAAATCAATTGATTTGTATATATTATAATAATCAAATCAATATTGCAAAACTTAATATTATTATAATTATCAAGAAACACAAACCACTTTAATTGAAATAGCTAACCTATTTTGTTATTAAGTTGTGATATGATGGGGGTGCCGACCTCCCAAAGTCTAAGGGCACGAAATTACTCAACTATCAAGATGCTCATTCACTAACACCTTTTAATTTATAAGCAACATAATATTTATTTTTTACTTATTAGGGTGTCAATATAATTATAGCATTACTATCAAGTTCTGCAAGAGACCCGTGCAAACTTGCATAAACAAAGAACACATTATCTATTGTTTCTTATTTATGTACATGTTTCTTTCAGGATAACAATTAGCTAATGTTTCCAACAACAAAAATCCGAATAACTTAAGATTTCTAATATTAATCAAAGCTGGGAATGGAAGCTCGAGAGACAGAGTTCAAATCCCCTCCTTAACTATATTACAGTTTCTGAAGATAATAGAACCTGATTCCAATTCCACTTCCATTGAAATATTGAGGTGGCTAGTTAGCACATTATTTGCGTAAGGATTGCACGTAAACAAAACTCAAAATGCAAAGCTGCTAACATCTTATTCACTGTAGTAACTTTTTGTTTAAATTAGTATCATCATTAACCAAGACTATAAAACAGCTGCAACTGGTAGATTTTACACTTAGATCACAAGTACACCTATAATTAAAAATAAATATACAATCACATTGACTAGATGGTTCCTCTACTGACATTGCTCATTTTTCTGACTCATAGCTTATTTAGATTATATCAATATAATCTCAACATTTAATTATTGAATCTGTTACGAAAAAATAGGCGTAGGCAATGGAATAACACTTCCTGAATATTCGCCTTTTCACTTAACGGAGACATTAAAATAATAATTTTGTGAACATGTACATTTCACTTTGCTTCCTTGCTTTCTTTACTAACTGCTTAATTATATACCTCTTAATTAAAAACTATCCGAATAAAAACATATATTCAATTCAAGTACCTCCAAATCATGAACAAATTATTGGTCGGTTCAAATAGTGTGTATCCAATTAAATTGGCTTGTTTTCAATTTCAATTTGAAAACGATGAAAT